TCGGACTGAGAGTATTTGAAGAATGATTGTAAACGATTTAGGAAATATTTATAAGAATTAAAAGAATATCGGAATTAGTTCGTCTTGAAATTAAAAGCGTTTTGACACTGACTTGTCAGTGGAATAGAATAGAAAATATGAAACAACTATATAATACAACGAAGAAACCATCAGGGAAATATAGTAAACCAGAAAGATCAGTCAAAGATAAAGAATGCAATCCAGTCACTGAGATTCAACAACAGAGAAACGAATGAGCAGAATACTTCGAGGAACTCTTGAGTAGAACAGATCCAATGAACTCACCGCACATCGAAGCAGCACACACAGACCCTTCTATCTATGTTACTTCACCAACGATTGAAGGAAGTGGGATGGCTATCAGAAAAAGCAGTGGGACCTGATAATATACATTGAAAGCAAATATAAAAGCAACTGCAAACATTACACCATGTTCCATTCAGGAATGTTTAAGAGGAGGAACAAGTGCCGACAGATTAGAAAGCATGATATTTCATCAAGATACTTAATCAGGGAGATCTGAGTAAATGTGGGAACCCAGCTACAGTGTCATCATGCCAATGTAGGTGCCAGGAAAGGTTTTCAACATAGTGTTGCTGAACCGGAAGAAAAATTTCGTAGACGACCAACTTCGAGATACATAAACCAGATTCCGTGAGGATTGATTCGGTATCGACCGAATCGCGATACTATGGATCATTGTTGAGCAATCAATTGAATGGAACTCGTCATCATACATTAAATTTATTGACTATGAGAAAGCATTTGACGGTGTGAATGGGAGAAACTTTTCGAATCATCTTCGACACTAAAGTATGAGTGACTGAGAAGATCATCAACATCATCTGGACTTGGTGCGACGGACTACACTACAAAGTGATGCATACAGGACAGCTGACAGACGCTTCTAAGTAAGGAATATTGTCAGATAAGGTTGATTACTCTCTCCATTTCTTGCTCTTCTGGTAATTGACTGGATTATGAAGACCTCAACATCTGAGGGGAAGCATAGAATACAGTTAACAGCTTGGATTTAACTAGATGATTTAGACTTCGTAGATCACCTAGCCATTCTATCCATTGATATCAACAAATACAGGTGAAGACAAACAGTATAGTGAATTAGGACTGAATTAACCACTATCATCTAATTTCTATCTCCATCTTATAATTGTCAATTTAATTAGAAGGTAACCAAAAACCAAATAAGCATTAACTTCTTATTTGTTTTTTATTGGTCTATTTATAAACTGATAACTTATACCACCTAACACTATAAGTGAGCTTATCATTAATGGTACTAGAAGGGGAGAAAGAAAGAGATGGAGAGAGAGGGTGGGCAGGGGTGTGGAAATGAACAACTACCATCCCGTTATTACAGACCTAATACATTGGAACTAATACAACTGAAGCATATAGTACATTATTTTAGACATAACAACCAATACCGACGTCATAATGTGAATAAAATGCAAAGTTCTCATTTCTTAGATTGAGGACAAAACAGATAACTAACCTTTTTTTAATGTTACATAATTTATGAACTTATGTCAGTTATGATGTAATATTGATCATTGATATGAATGTTAGGTTGTTACTTTCTTTTTAAAGTTTCATGTCTGGTTGAATATTGGTATAATAATAAGATTGTAGTGAAAGAGAATATCAGTACACGACAACCAAATGTACTTCCACATGTTACAGAATTTCTTATTGAAATCTGAGAACCATGGAGTAAATACTTGATTGACAAAATGTCAATCAATCGTCTTCTGTTTCCACACCAATCACTCATTGTTCTCGTACTCTTCTCTTCGAACTGATGTACGTACGTACGAAATTCTACGTTGTTACTGACTGACTCAAATTCTGCCTCCAAGCATTACACTTTCAACACATGATACATACTATTTATATCTATCGATATCAGTAGCACATACCGCAATATCAGTACACATCCCAACACCTTCAACTGACGTCACTGTTGATGTTAAGCATTGAATTTCAATCATCAAATTTGTTCCATTGGACAAATTACAGAACGGGTATGTTGATAGTAAAGAGAGTAGGTTCGAGTTCAATAATGAGCATTGACTATTGGATTACATGCACATCAAGGTGACAGGTCCAAAAGAGGTTGAAACGAGTGTCACCAATTTCATTACTAGTCAATACTGACACTTATATTTATGAAATATATTTGGGATAATTGTAGTGAACGAGAACACAAAAAAGGATGATCGAATATATTTGAATACAACATTACAGAACAGAATCATACAGTGAATACTTCATTTACAATCAATTGTCTCCGACTTTATTGTTATTTCGTTTCTACACTAATCAATCTCTAGTCTTCAATCTTCTTAACCCTCTGCCTCTAAGCATTTCATTTTCGATTGATGATACACATACTACTTATATCTATTGATATCAGTAGAACATACCACAATATTAGTAGGGAAATCAAAACCATAACCAGATATATGTAAATAATAATACTTCATTATGATACTTAGTATCATTGTTATTTTGGTTGTTGAAAATCAAAAATTAATTAATAATTATAATCAATATTTAAAATAAGCGATGCATCCCGGTTACCATAGTAACCGATAGTATTTATCTCGTCTATTCGATTTACAAATGATTAGAAGGTGCATAAAATGATTTATGATAATATTAACTAATGAAGTTGATCTCAAAGGTTGGTAACAATCATTTTAACATTATATTAGATATTCTGATTTAGGTTACTTTAGGAATGGATTTATCAAATTATCATTATGGATTAGTTGAAGTTAGACATTAACATCGTTGGATACTGGTTAGTTCAGTGGTTTAATGGTTAAGCACTTAAGCGCGAGACTGATAGGCTCTGAGTTCGAATCTCATGAGGTGGGATCATGAATGCTCACTGACACTGAAGAGTCCTACAATGGGACAAAACGACCGCTCAATACTTCCAGATTTTCTGTGTTGGTCTAGTTTTAATTGACTTATGATTTCAACTATTAAAACAATCATATCCCGGACAATCGGATTTGGAATCTGTGTATTTGTAAATAGGATCCGATGGGTGTAAAATGTGTGGTTGAAACGACTATGGTTTATTCTTAATAACTTACGGTATAAGCATAGTATTTAGATGGTGATTTAATAGTCCTTTATCGAACTCCAATTAAGCCTGCTATCTTCGTATATAATCCTTATCTTAAGCCATATTAGTTAATAGAGGGGTTAAACTATAAGTTATGAACGAACCAATCAGGTATAAGATAACAGGTCTCAGATTTTGGTACGGAATTCATTCATCCATTTGGTTAAATAGAGTTTTGACATTGTAGCTGATATCAGTTCGTGATGAAAAACCTTAATGTAATTCATAACCTTGACCATCAACTGTTGATCACGAATCGAAGTTCTCACACTGGTTTATAAACGTCAATTAGTCCTAGTTATTAGATGGACACTCTCCAGGTCAATCTGGAGTCCCTCAAAGGTTGTCCATAAATTATAGTCTCACCAATAGAGGAATTAAATAAGCCAAATGCAAGAATGAAGTATGAATACGTACACTCACTGACCTGAACGGACAATCTCATCAATATTCACCATCCAACACTGTCCTAGACAATCCTGTTCAACGCTTTCAAATTCTTATTCATCCTTCTCATATCTACTTATATTTCCCGACATACTGTGTTCTTCGGCCTTCCTCTTTTCCGAGTAACTTCAGGATTCCAAGTTGGCGCCTATCTCATGATTCAGTTTGATAATTTCCTCAACGTATGTCCCATTCACTTTCAACGTCGTTTTATGATTTTCTCTTCAGCTGGAAGTTGGTTTTTTCTCTCCTACGGTAGACTGTTACTGATGGTATCCGGCCATTGGATGTTGAGTATCATACGTAGACAACTATTTATGAATAGTTGAACCATTTTGATGATGGCTGTAATAGTTCTGCAAGTTTCAGCTGTGTACAGTAGAACTAACTATGTTGACGTTCGTGTTGAAGATTGTGACTTTGATATTGGTTGAAAGTTATTTTGAATTCCATTTGCTCGTCAACTGTAGGAATCCTGCTCTTGCTTTGCCAATCCTCACTTTTTCATCCATATCTGATCCTTCTTGTTTAGTTATGTGAAAGTTTCTATTTCTTCCAAAGTTCTTACACTAAGTGTGATTGAATTGGTGTTCTCTGTGTTGTATTTGAGGACCTTGGTTTTCTCCTTGTGTATGTTGAGGCCTACCGATGCAGAGGCTACTGCTACATTAGTTGCTATAATCTGCATTCGTTCATGTGTATGAGATAATTGGCTTAATATTCTATGTAATACTACCTTAGGATGTTATGTAAATATTCCCTGTTCTTCTTCCCTGATATGAGTCATTTAAGTAGTGAAATCCCAATAGATTCTATAAACAACTTATCATTATATGTTATACACCTATAACGTATCTGTTAACACCCGATTAAAGAATCGTTTTATTCAGGTTTTGTTAATTAACTTGAAATCTCAAGCATTATAAGCGAAGATCTATAATGGCTAACAGTGCTATTTGAGACTTATCATTCAGATGTACTTGCATCTCAGAGTTGATGTTCACTCTGGGACTCGAACTCAATACCGTTCACTTTAAACCCCATCAAATTATCCACTTAGCTACTAAGTCATGTTAACTGACTTACTGACTGACTATGAAATAGTTCCTGGTGATAATAATAACCAAACCATCTAGTTCAAAACGAAAAGAAACAAATCAAAACTCAACAACAAAAACAACAACACTGAACTAATCTTTAATACAACTTTATATTACGTAATTAAGTATTTCAATACAATAACTCTGATCACATATTTAAATGTAAATAATAAACAATTGGAAACATTCATTATTATTAATAAGAAGGAATAACTATAAGATATGATGAATATAAACCTTCCTCCCCCCCGCCCCCCCCCCAATAACAAATATCAACTTCTATCAATCTCATTATTCACAAAATCATTAATAGTCATACTACTTATAATAATTATAAGTAATAATAATAGTAGATAGATATTCAAATGGTATTAAAACAAGAAGCAATAACGACGACGACCACTACCACCACCACCACAACAACAACAAAACAAACAAACAACAAAGTGAGAAAAATAAAGAAAAACCATAAAGAAAAACAACATAAAAGAAACAAGAGAAAAAACAATAATAAAATGCATGGTAATTTTGTTCCGTTTTTTTTCTAAAAAAAAATAAAGAAAGAATACTCATCTTAATTGTTTCAACAAGAAAAAAAAAGAAACAAACAAACCCTCTATCCATTTCAATGTTTCCATAGAGATTGGATGGTTTACATAGAAAAAAGTTACAAAATAAGATATTCATGATATGTTTAAGTGGGATTCGAACAGTGAAAATATGTTGTTGATATGTCCTTTTATTGATTGATTTGTTCGTTTATTGATTTGTTTATTTGTTTATTGATTGATTTGTTTGTTTATTGATTGATTTGTTCATTTATTGATTGGTTTGTTCGTTTATTGATTTGTTTATTTGTTTATTGATTGATTTGTTTGTTTATTGATTGATTTGTTCATTTATTGATTGGTTTGTTTTTGTTTAAATAAAGGAATGTAAAATTTGATTGAGCAAGAAAAAATTGTTCAACATTAACTATTGAATATGAATATTTAAGTAGTATATGTATCATTCTTATGAATTAAAAGGAAAATAATAATAATAATAACACAATTGATTTTAATGATTTTATAAAAAGTAATTTAAGCACAACGTAGATTTGTGCCAGCTTTTAATCCTTTGGAACCAAAGTTTTTAATATAACAATCTGTAAAATAGAAAAAAAAGATGCTTCATTAAGTAAACACATATATGTATAAGTAAAGATAGATAGTGGCTAATAGTGAAATCAAGGATGGCCGTTTCGTCGTATTCGAGACTCATCAGTTGGATGTGTTTGTATCTCAGAACCGGTGTTCACTTTAGGACTCGAACTTAATACCGTTCGCTTTAAACGCCATCATGTTATCCATTTACCTACTGAGTTCTGATAGCCACTTGCTTATGCGATGAGTTGAAGTTTAAATTCATTTGGTGTTGTTTCCTTGAATCTTCAGATTAATGTTTAGGACTGCAATTCGTCGGTCTCTTATTGATATATGTACATCCAGCTGACGAATGCCAAGTAGGACCAAACGTGCGTCCTGAATTTCACTGCTAATTATCATCCATCTTTCCTTATAGAGCTTGTGACGTAAGATGATAACGAGGCAGTCCACACAGGATGCATATACGCCAACAAGAGACTGATTAATTTCAGTTTTTAACAAAAATGGTAAGATACAAGCAAATAATACTCAGTGAATATATATATGTTTGTAAGTAGTTGGTAGGAAACTCTGGACCTAAATTTTATCCGAGCATTCGTTATCAAGACATATTTGTTATTTTCACAGATTTAAATCATGAGTCAGTTGAAGCTAGACCACCATTGAAAACCTGGAAGCACTGGACGGCCGTTTCGTCCTAGTATGGGACTTCTCAGCAGTGCGCATCCACGAGTTCTAGTGGGAAGCCGTCACCAGTGGAGTACAACCAGGTCTGTTGTGAGATATCAGCTCACTGAAGACAATGGTATATGGTGGCGCAACTTCGTGGATTGGTTGAAGTTAGACATTAACACCGTTGGATGCCGGCTCAGTGGTCTAATGTTTAAGTGCTCGCGCGCGAAGTCAGTAGGTCCTGGGTTCGAGCCCCGTGTGGTGCGGGGTCGTGGATGCGCACTGCTGAGGAGTCCCATACTAGGACGAAACGGCCGTCCAGTGCTTCCAGGTTTTCAATGGTGGTCTAGCTTCAACTGACTCATGATTTAAATCGGTGATAATTTCTTAAATCGCCACAAACCCTTTCTGATAACATATTTGTTATCTTGAGAAAATTGTCGTAGTACAACCAGTATCAGTCAGCTTCACAATCTGACTACCTCGTAGTGGAAATCCGAATTCCTCAGATCTTTGATGAATAAGAAAAGGCGAAAAATATAAAAGAAATTTGATTGTAGTACAGAGATTTAGGACTGGAACGTTGAAAAGAATCAATGTTAAATGAGATCCCTACTACTGAACGACAACCCAATCAGTAACAACCAAATGTATTTGAATACAACAATACAGAATCACTCTATAAAATAATACAGTAAAATATACTTCGTTTGCAAAATGTTAATTAGTTATCTCAGGATTCATTGGTTCTTGGTTTCCACATCCATCATACTTTGTACTTGTTCTCTTCTCTTCGATATATTTTTTTAAACCTTCTGTTCACCAGACATTCCACTTTCGATTACTGACACACATACTACTTATATCTATCGATATCAGTAGCATACACTACAATCAAAATCTATCATAAATCAAATGACTAACTTCTTATATTCTCTAATAAATAGATTAATCTCATATTTCATATTATATAATAATCACTAGAACTATACCATCATGATATACAATTGATTGTTTCGATCATGTTCATTGAAAGAACAAAAAAGAAGTGAGAAAAGATCAAATTACATTGTTTACAAATCTGATCCACCCATGAACTATTTCAGGGCGTATGACCTTAATTTAATACAACTATTCAATTAGAGATTACTTATATTAGATAGTGTCATAAATATGATTATTATTATTGTTGTTGTTTATATTGATGAAAATTGAGATGACTGAATTAATATGGATTAAGGTAGCCGAAGTATACATAGTATGTATTACTGATGTTCATAGATATAAGTAGTATATGTATCATCAATCGAAAATGAAATGCTTAGAAGTAGATGATTAAGAAGATCAAAGAGAAGAGAACGAGAACAGAGAATGATTACTATGGAAACAAAAGAACAATGAAGTCTAAGACGATTGATTGACATTTTGTAAATGAAGTATTCACTGTATGGTTCTCAGATTTTACTAATTGATTCTATAATTTTATGTTGAAATGCGTTCGATTGTCCCCGCTGATGTTCTTTTTCACTCCACATATAGTACGTATGTTCAAAAATAATCTTAGTCAATGTAAAATATTGGATTTTATCTTAGTAAGACTGTTAGTAAGGCTGTTGATATATGTGTTGTAAAATGATGGATTGTTTAGTTGAAGTTCACGAGATAACCGTGATAATCTTTTGGATATATTCAGTAAAATGGTTTAAAACCAATCTCGATATTTCAAATTCATGGATTATTTGTCAGAACCTCTTCTCATAATAATCATCGTATGCTCACGACTGACTGTCTCCGAAAGTTATTTTCTGGAGTTGTGATGAGAAGACGTGACCAGTGAAGTTCAACCGTGTTTGTTGTGAGATAGTAACTCACTAAAGACAATAGTGGACCATGAAGCAGTTTTGTGTATTGGTTGAAGTCAGACATTAACATGGTTGGATATAGATTAAACGTTCGCGAGCGAGACCGAAGGTTCTGCGTCCGAAGCCTGCGAGAGGGATCGTGATTGCACACTGCTGAAGAGTTTCATACTAGAATGAGACAGTCGTTCAGTGTTTCCGTGTTTTTCAATGGTGGTCTAACGTCAATTGACTCATGAATTCAACTATAAAATTACTAAAATCCTCACAAAACCTCATCTCCTAATAATCAACGTATGCTCACTAGTGACTGCCTCCGAGAGTTATTTCCTGGAGTCCCAGTGAGAAACAGTGATTAATGGTGTTTGACCGGATTTATTGTGAGATAGTAACTCACTAAGGACAATGATGGAAGGTAGTTAAACTTCTTGGATTAGTTGAAGTTCGATATTAATACCGTTCGATGCCGGCCGACTCAGTGATCAATAGGTCCTGGGTTGGAATCTCGCGGAGAGGAATCGTCGATGTGCACTTCTGAGGAGTCACACAATCGATGGGTGTTAGACATCAACACCATTGTATGCTTCCTCAGTGGTCTAGAGATTAAGCTTTCAAGCACGAGATCAAAGGTTCTCGGTTCGAATCCTGTGCGCAGAGTCATGAATCCATACTACTTAGGAGTCCCATACTAGAATGAAACAGTCATTCAGTGTTTCCAGGTTTTTCATGGTGGTTTAGCTCGACTCATCTACCCATTGTGATTACATAATTCATATTATATAATTTAATAATATTATGCAATATGTACAGTTATCTATATATATATCAACCTATGTGATATATATGCATGAATTACATATATCGGTCAAATTCATCATTTCTTGAAAGACAATCATCAACTATACTATGAAAACCATGTATATACATATACGTAAAGTTTACTCCGAATTAATCTACACCTAATTAACAATGAACAATCTTTATTGTTTACAATGTAACTTATTAAGGTGATGCTGTATATTCAATTTGATAACCTTAAGTTAATTAAATAAGAGTTAATCATATGATAAGAGAAAATAAATAAAAAAAAATTATTCTATTTAAGATGTAACAATTATGTACATAAATTATAATGAACAAATAATATTACTGATATTTAATTTATTAGTATAAGGTTTCATTGACATCTGAATTAACGATAAGAAGTGAAATAGGTGAGCATATCGACTGTTTCACTTATTTTGGAAATCTCATTAGCTCTTGTAGTCTGGTGTGTGACGAAATCACAGCATGGATACAGAAGATTCGATTAGCTTTTGTTAACTTGCATCATTTATGGAGTAGACGAGATATCCGTCTATTCACCAAAGGATGAGTTTACTGAGCAGCAGGTTATTCCGTCCTACTTTATAGCTGAGAAATATGATCGGTAAGAGTGGAGGATATTCCTACGTCACTAGTATTCGATCATCGGTGTCTTCCAAACATTACTCGTATATCCTGGGACCACCGAGTAAGTAATGCAGTTGTTAAGAAATGGGTACCAGGTAAGGATGGAAAATCAATTGATGAAATAGTTAAACTTGATCAGTTAAGATGGCTGGGACACGTATTATGTATGCTCAACCACCGACTATCCCGACGTGCGATGTTTTTTGATGTAGGACTAGGTTGAAAGAAAGCTGTGGGTGGCTGGACCAAAACATGAAGTCACTGAGAAGTGGACTGAGATATGTTGGTAAGTTTAGACCACATGGTTGGAATCCGTGAGACGATAGCAACCGATGGTTAGAGACCTTGAATGTGACATGGCTCAAAATCGTTTGCAGTGGCGTAGGTGCATCCACTATTTGTGTTCTCCCGAATACCAATCTTCTGAGTTCTCCATATCCCTTTCTCGTTTTTTCTCTTTCCAAATTTATTTCACTGGATTATACTCCTTGAATAACAACTTCAAGCCCTAATGTTTCCGACTACAGCTTATACTTTTACTACCTCTACCACTACGGGATTTTAATCAACAACTGTTTGTGTGTGCTAATGTGGTATGACAACTCGAACTGATGTACTTACGTACGAAGTTCTACGTTGTGACTGATTTACTGACTGATTTATAAGGTTGTAGAGATTTTTCATGCTTCTACTTGTACTTCTACTGGAAGTTTGTGCTACTGATGATGATGTTGTTGTCTAGAGCAACGATGAAAGCTCCACGATCGAATCATCTAGATCGAAGAACAAAACTTCATCAAAATTGTTTATGATTGTTTGAATAGGATCAGTGTAACTCGTTGTGTATGTAAAACATTCTCTACTTCATGATCGGAGCATAACAGTTGCTCTCCTGAAGTTAATTTTTGTTATCTAACCTGCATTCAATGTTTCCCTGATTCCAAGCATCTCCAAGTTGTAGCTTTTTTATTTCTGCAGAAACTTGGTTAACTCTCTCGTTCTTCTACATTTTACCT